TTTTGCTAACAATTTTTTGCTAATTTTTATCTGCTTAATTACAATGTATAGTCATGTCAGCTCCGAGCCAAACTGATATTTTAGTTACTATTATTATTATTGAATGATTTGTCTAATCTTATGTAAATATGTTCTTCCCTGTGCTTATCCCTTTCATCGTCGAGAAGGGGCGGTCGAGAAGGATTGCCTAGGAGGACAAGTGAGGCTCTCACTTGGAGTCCCCCTTTCCCTTTCACTCATTTGTAATCTATTCGTCTTATTGTACTACTATAAATAAAGATACATATTTTCCGGGTTTATGCAACTGCAGTTCAGGTCGGTCATTTCATAGGGACTCCCCTCTAATAAGTTGGAGGAGTTGAGTTAGGTTGTCGGGGTGTTAGAGATGGCAGGATATCAAAAGGGATTCACTCTCTTTAACTTAACCCAAATTCTAGTCCATATCCGTTTACACCTAGGAACGAATAGTCATGAATATAAAGTTTATACTGCCAGAGTTTGAAATCGACTCCCCAGAGTTTTGAGAGAGGCCAATAATCTCGAAAACCTTTAAATTATCTGTATATGTTCTTGATCTTGAAGCTCTAGTGGATTCTTGACATTAATCTGTGCTACCCATATATTACATACCGTAAATACTGTAATAGTACCCCACCCCGATAATGATGTGTTCCATCCGTCGACCTCCGAACACGCGCGCTACATTTCCAGCCAGTTGGAGTCTCTTGTCAAAGAGATCGATTCGATCTACAATCAAACAAACTCGTTGATGCTTGGCGCTTGTGTGTATCGACTTAGCTCGGAATAAATGTTGCGACAAAAGCGAAGAGCCAAATAAGGGTTGCTGTATAAAGAGTACTATGACATTTTGCAAATGGGAGCAAAACGACGACATTGTTAGACAGAAAAACAAAAATCATCTTTTCAAATCGTTACAAAAAAATTCCAATGAAAACGTCTTGACTTGTTATTTTTGGATGAAATATTTTTATATGCATTTTAATGAAATTCAATTTCATTCTACAAAACAAAAAGGAGGTGTAGTTTAAGCTGTGCAGTTTGCAGTTGGCTCAGCACTATCTTGAAGGAGTAGCGTCTAAAATGTTATTTCTTCAATTAAGTCCTTTTTTTCATAAGTTTTCCCCATTTCAAACCTACCAGATACTCGGCAAAGCGAGATTTCTTAGCTTTTCTGGTAAGATGTTCTTTCCACCTCTGATTGACGAGATTTGTCGCTTCAGCCATTGCTTGCTAAACAAATTATCAATAAAATAGCTGATGTAAATGTAGTCTGTAATATTAATAATTGTCAAAAATGTGTAAAACCATTGATGTCGAGCTTTGCCTAATTAAAAGTAAGTAAACTAGACCTATTTTGTTGTAATCTAGCTCGTATAGTAAAACCGAATATGTATTAGAGTCAGAAATAAAAAAAAGTAAACCTGAATCGGTAGGAAGATCTCATTCGCGTAAACCTCGACGATGATGTTGATGGTGAGCTCTTCGTGCACAGAGGGGTTTGCTTTGAGAATCTCGTCTTTTTTCACTTTGAATTCCTTCTTGATCCTATTGAGCTCTCCATTAAAAGAACGATGAATTAACTATAATTAGTCACATTTATTGAATCCATGTTTCTGAAAGTCTCACCTCGGGTTTCTTGTTTCCGCAAAGATCGAGCACTTTGGCGATCTGAAAATTTATAAGCTAAACTTTTATCAATATAATGTATTTATTTTAATGCACGAAGGAAGTCTCAAATTTAAAAAAAACTAATTACAGTAGAGATACGGTAGATAACTAACTTTAAGGGCGAATAGTTTTCAAAAGGAGACTCCCTACTTTTAAAATGTTTTCGGTTCCTCGACGAGCAAGTTGCTTTGCAAAGTCTGTGAACGCAACTCGAATTTTGATTAAACGAGATGACCCCAAACACTCCTCAAAGGCTTCCTATAAAATTTGTTTCCACTAAATAAATGTAATCAACTTCAATTTTTGTCTCCTGTACTCGTGTGATGCGTAGTAGTTTCGTCATTGCTGGTTGACTCAAATCGTGATCTGGAGATTAAAATTGAGGTAAATGTTTTGGAAAAGTTGGATGCTTACTTTCAAAGGCAGCCTCTTTAAATTCGCGTTGCTTTGTTTTCAGCTCGGCTTTGAAAGCGCTGTGCACGTTTTGCACCTCAGAAACAGCTCCGCGAAGACTTTTCTAAAAAATTATTGATTTTTCTTTACAAATATTTTTACCATTTACAAAATGAACGTATCACTTACCATTTGCTGCTTGTGCGCTGCGCAAAGCTCGACAAGCATCGCCTCGTAGGCGAGAAGGCGCAGTTGCTCAACTTTCTTCTCGAGTTGGGGCTAAATTTCAGCTATTTACCGACTTTTTAGTGAATTTACTTTTATTTGATTGATTATATTAGACATTTTTTTGTTTGCAGGATTCCCTATTAACTTATAAGCCTTGGGTAAGAACTCACCTGACAGAGCTTATGGAACTTGAGGATTTCTTCAGCCACAAACTCATCTGGTTTTTCTTGCAGTCTTTCTCGAAGCAGCTAGAATTTTTCGTAATTCATCACTTCACATCACAAGTTTTACTTTTTCAACTTTTATAAACGAAAAATTTGAGTAAACTTTCAAAAAGCACCTGGTCCGCCTCTTCTTGCAGTTGTTTTAGGGTCTGCAAATTTTTTTGAAGATCCCCATCTTGAATCTAAAGTACATAATTAGTTTTGTTTACCGTTAAATTAAGTTTACAAAACCAAATAAAGCTTAAAAGTAAAGGAATTCAGAAAACGCAAACTTCAATGACGTGAGCGATAAGTTTGGTGTAGGCCTCGGTGCTAGCTTGCATGGCAATCAGCTGCCAGAACATCTAAAAACGAAAATAGTTCGTGTCTTAGAGATTTTCAAACATTAGTTAATCAAAATTGCACATATTTCTCTATTTTATTGCTAGACCTTTCGTATTTTTCCTATTTTGTATCTAGATAATATATAGACACTTTTTCCGAACTAAATAGAAGTCCGATTTCCAATTTCAGTCGATTTATTTACAATAATTACAAATCAACTAGCGAAAAAATTTCATCACCAATCGGCTAATCGATTTACAATCATTGACTGAAATTGCAAGTCGCTAGCGACATATTCATATATCGATTTACCTCAGAACTCTTTCGAACATCATCTGTCTTCAGTTGGCTGGCATTTTTGGCGAAAGTCTAAGCTTTAGCTTGTTAATTCTTTTCAGATCTTCTTTTTTCAGTGTACTGTGCAAAAGCTTTGTTAAAGAAATCGCAAAAATAACCTTGAAATGAAGGAAACGACCTTTTGGACGATGTCGCTGCATCTCTTTGATATCGCCTTTCAACAAATGCAGAAACTCTTTAAAAGTGTCCAAAAACTCGGACATCGCTTCGTCGACTAAAGATAAATAAGAAGAAAAGTTACGTTTAGACGGGGATCACTTGTAGACGAGCCATTTCCGAGAGTGATCGGCGTGAAATAGGAGGCTTTCTTTACAAAAGGTGGCGGCTCAGGGAACGAAATTAGCTAGTAAAGTGTTCGTTTTGTGCAAAAACTTTTCCCCTACTCGAATGGCAGAAAATGTACTTCTGAGCACCTCTGATTCGTGTTTGTAATTGGCGAGGATAGTATCCTAAAAATGGCATTACATTGTTATAAACAAAAATCAAAAAAACCTGGGTAAAGTAGTCAGGATGATGTCCAAAGTCTTCCACAGCGTCTCGATCGAGAATATAGATAATCTAAAAGAGCTAAGCTACCGTAAAGCTACCGTAAATACTCTAATAGTACCCCAAGCTAGACTACGCAACACTCCGCACTCTCATTATAGGAGTGCGGTACTATTACAGTATTTACGATATCCTAAAAAGCGAAGAGCAAAAAGGAAATCAATGTAAAGCCACTGTAAAACTCTTACCGATTTTTCGGCCAAAGGTATATCCTTTTCGTCACACATTGCAACTGGGTCTGTTAAATTCTTGAAATCATTCATATTGAATTGCTTCACGTTGTACACCTATATAGATAAGAATATATATAGTGATTTTATCATCAAAATCTCACCAGAATATCACAAAACATTGCCAAGAAACCAGTGATAAACGTGTTCACTTCTGGAGGTGCTCGATCGTCAAAAAGTCCTTGCGCATCCAATAGCAAAATGGCCCACTAAAGACTTTTCCAAGCTACAAAGCTTTCCTATGAATTCTATGAATACTCAATACAAAAAAGCAAGTTTTGATAGTATATATTCAAACTATTAGCCAGTGTTTGAAGCCAGATTCCCATTCTTCACCTTTTGTCCATTTGGTGCTTGGAAAATAAAGGGCTCACTCCAAATTTCGATGTCTTGAGTGCACGGTTTTTTGCCAGAAAAATAGCGAACGCTGTGTGGCTCCCTTAAATTTTTAACAATTGATAGAAAAAATGAACTTTACCCAATTTCTGTTTTTGGATCATCCAAGATGCCTGTGTCGAGAATGGTTTTTCGGAGCAGTTCAAGCAAAAAGCTTTTGCCTGTCCGTTGAACGCCGCAAATCCCGACGACGAGGCTCTAAAAGTGTTTTTGATTTCAAAAATCTGATCGTTTTATTAACAATGAATTCATAACGAAAACAAACCGGCATGTCTTTGATCTTTTCAAGGATTTCATTGAAGTAGACGTCCACGCAAACAGGTTCCCCCGTCTTTGTTTTTACCAACTAAAGGAAATCAGTATAAAGAATCAGAATAGAGAAATTCACCTTAAGCATTTGAGCCATTTCCATCAAAGAAGCTACTCTAAAATCATTTTAAGAAAACAATAACATTAATTTCTAAACAAACAATGCTTGGAAACACCAAAAAAGAAAAATAAAGGCCAAATTTTTAAGCATTTATCAAGTCTCAAGGGCAGGCAGAACTTTTAAATAGACTTTAAAAATTTTCGTTATCGATTCCAAGCAAAGATTCAAGAGATCCTATCGTGAACTCTTCGAGAAAGTAGATCTCTCGTCGCCTTTGAACATCCTCCCGAATCCAATCAATCAGATCCTTGACGTCAGCGATGAGCTGAAATAAAAAATATAGCAAGACTGTCATTTTCTGGCTACAAAAGCATAAATAAAGTTAGTATTCTCTAAAAAGTTACTTATAAAATCACCTTCTCTAATTGATTTGCTCGAGAGCTCGTGTCTCCTGTGATCAAATCGCGTATGTTGATACCCAAAAAGACAAAATCGACGGCTGCTATAAAAAAAAATTGTTTTTTTTATGTAAACAAACATGTATAAACGTTATATGATAAAAATATTATGGTTAATCTAAAGCCACCTGATAAGACGACACCAGCAGCGGCTAGCCCGAGACGTGGCAGCTAAAGAAGTTAGTGTACTTGATTAACGAAACGCGGATCAGTCTCAACTTGTTTGTAAACCATGAAAACAGCTCTTACAAACCCATACAACCCTTATAAATTCTATAGTGTAACCTCTTTAATCAAATTCTCAACGTCAAACGATGAGCTAAAGTAAAACAAGCTAAAGGTTTTGAGTTTTTCATTCCTCTCAAATTTTGAGAGGAATTTTTAGGAAAATAAATAAAAAAAGCAGACTGAGTACAAGTAAAATACAAACAAAAACTTACCGCTTTTGCCGCTACTTCAAGTAAACCACGTGCCGCAAATCCGCCTAGTGCCGCAAAACGCCCAAGACTGTGAAAGAAAGCGCCGAAAAAACTGGCATAGTCTCTGAAATCGTAAGTTTGCTTTTCGAAGAATGCATCTCTCCTTTTTTTACATCGAATTTGACATCTCTCGCAATCGGACAATCTCATTTCTCCTCTGCTCCGCAACACGCTCAATGTACAGACTCAATCCAGTGATCGGAATCGTCAACACTTCTTGAATTTCGTCTGTCAAAGCGTGCTAAAAATTACCGTGTGGTAAAAACTATTTAAATTTAAACTATACGACTTTATAATAACCATATATTATTGTTAATTTCCCTCATGCACTTGAGTTCGTCTAGGATTTTGGGTGAAAAACATACAGCATCAACAATGTTCCCAGCTATATTGATTCCGACAGAGGTTGCACCTGTGCCAACAGCCGCAACACCGGCGGCTAAGGCAACTAAATTTTGTTTTTGTAGATTTCTTTCGTTTCCCCAACCACGTGTTTGCAAAACTCACGTGGAGTTGTGGCGCCGGCTGTCAATGGAATGGTTATTGTCAAAATGACGGTTAGAACCGATAGCCCACAAGTTGTTGCATTCGCAGCTGTGTTTGCAATTGTGAATTTTTTTCCACGTTCTCTAAGCTTTAGAAAAATTTCATATAGTAGATCGAATCGAATTTTTGAAAACTTACAGAAACTTGTAATCCTTTCAACGCTGGTATTATTGACTGCAACTTTTCGATGGTGGCCGTTTCAATTTGTTGATATTTGTCGATCGTTGACTCCCAGTCGGTAGGGTGTAAAGAATCCGACATAGTATAATTGAAATCACTGAAGTGTTTAAAAGGCTATTTTGGAAAAAAGTCTTGCCGCTTTATAGTGTAATCAATACTGTTTTTCACGGTTACACTTGCAGCCTATCTTATCTTTGTTTCAATTTACGACAACTGTACGACTGTACGACTGTTAGCTAGGAAATAAAAAGCTATACTAGACATTTAACATTTAAAGCTTTTTACGGTCGTACAGTCGTACAGTCGTACAGGTGTCGTAAATTGAAACAAAGATAAGATAGGCTCCAAGTGTAACCGTGAAAAACAGTATTGATTACACTAGAAAAGTTGAAAAAGTAAAACTTAAGTGACGAATTACGAAAAATTCTAGCTACTTCGAGAAAGACTGCAAGAAAAGCCTGATGAGTTTGTGGCTGAAGAAATCCTCAAGTTCCATAAGCTCTGTCAGGTGAGTTCTTACCCAGGGCTTATAAGTTAATAGGGAATCCTGCAAACAAAAATTGTCTAATACAGGGTGCGGCAAAAGTTCGGAGCCGCTTCTTAAGATAGTTAAAGGTTTAAAAACTCGCTTTAAAAAGTTAAAAATTAATAACAAATTCTTTATTCGAATCATAACAACAAATAACTTATAACAAATGCTCGAAATTTCCATCATCCGAAGCGGATAGACCTCTTTAAACGCTTTGGGAAGTTCCTCACAATGGTGGCGCACGCTTAAACAGTTATTTCATCCCAGACTCGTTTCAGAGCAGATTTTAAAGCATCCACTGTTTGATACGTCTTCATCGAGATCTTGTCTTCTAAAATAGCCCAAACGGAGTAATCGAGGGGATTAAGATCTGGCGAATTTGAAGGCCAAATGGTCTTATCCCAAAAGCCTGGAAACAACTGATTGCAAGCGTTGAGAGTTGAGTGAGCACCATGCGCCGGAGCCCAGTCCTGTTGAAGGGAAAAACCAGCTTGTCGAAAGTGATTTGTTGCCCAAGGTTTCAAGACATCTTTTAATACCAGTTGTTGGTAGTTTTTAGCGTTTATCTTGACGTTCCTGTCCAAAAAAACAAGAGGTGTCTTGCCTGTAACACAAATACCTCCGCACACCATAATCGAAGATGGAAAATGCTTCCTAACCATCAAATTTGCCGCAAATGTGTTCTTCAGACCTCTTTTGAGAAGTTGTCTATGATTTTGTGCAATGGCTGAATACAAAAAATCTTTTCATCTGTGAAGAGGATCCTCTCAAGTAGGCCAGTCGCCACCAAGCGCACCATCTTCTTTGCTAGACGCTTTCGTTTCTTCTGGGATTTGTCGCTCAAGACGTGTGCTTTGGCCAATTTGTAGCTAAAGAATCTTAGCTTCCCTTTAACATTCATTCCAACGCTTCGAGGGCTAATTTTCAGCTGTTTGCCCATCTTTTGCATCGACCGCAACTTGTTTTGGCGAATCCGAAAGCGAATTTCGTTGATGTTCGTAGGTGTTACGGCAGTTGGTGGTCGACCACTTCGAGGGCGATCCTTGTTGTTCTTTATCTCCTTGTAGCGTTTAATTGCTTTGTTGACGGTGCTTTTTGGATATTTCGTGATTTTTACAATCACCGGGCTATTTTTTTCCGCCTTGGTATAATCCGAGAATCACATCGCGTCGTTTTTTGGCGTTCATTCTTACGAGTTTTGCTCCTAAAAAGAAAATTTTTGTAACAAATCACCTTAACTATACTCGAAAAAAGGAAAAAAAGTATACCAGACACAAAAAAAAGCGTGAGCTAAATTTTCTGCAATGCTTTCATAGCGGCTCCGAACTTTTGCCGCACCCTGTATAATCAATCAATCAATAAAACTAAATTCACTAAAAAGTCCGTAAATAGTTGAAATTTAGCCCCAACTCGAGAAGAAAGTTGAGCAACTGCGCCTTCTCGCCTACGAGGCGATGCTTGTCGAGCTTTGCGCAGCGCACAAGCAGCAAATGGTAAGTGATACGTTCATTTTGTAAATGGTAAAAATCATTGTAAAGAAAAATCAATAATTTTTTAGAAAAGTCTTCGCGGAGCTGTTTCTGAGGTGCAAAACGTGCACAGCGCTTTCAAAACCGAGCTGAAAACAAAGCAACGCGAATTTAAAGAGGCTGCCTTTGAAAGTAAGCATCCAACTTTTCCAAAACATTTACCTCAATTTTAATCTCCAGATCACGATTTGAGTCAACCAGCAATGACGAAACTACTCCTCATCACACGAGTACAAGAGACAAAAATTGAAGTTGATTACATTCATTTAGTGGAAACAAATTTTATAGGAAGCCTTTGAGGAGTGTTTGGGGTCATCTCGTTTAATCAAAATTCGAGTTGCGTTCACAGACTTTGCAAAGCAACTTGCTCGTCGAGGAACCGAAAACATTTTAAAAGTAGGGAGTCTCCTTTTGAAAACTATTCGCCCTTAAAGTTAGTTATCTATTGATAATTGATTTATTGATAATTTGTTTAGCAAGCAATGGCTGAAGCGACAAATCTCGTCAATCAGAGGTGGAAAGAACATCTTACCAGAAAAGCTGAGAAATCTCGCTTTGCCGAGTATCTGGTAGGTTTGAAATAGGGAAAACTTATGAAAAAAGAGGACTTACAGGGTCTGAGAAAAGTATTGTCGCGTCTCTTTGAACTAACTTTTATGCAATTTAAAAGTATGCTTTTACGCTGTGTCAAACATGAATTTTGTCCAGTTTTTTTTCCTCTTTCGAATGGTGCATGGCATTCCAGGTGTTTTTTAAGAAATGCAAGCTTGTCCTTATGGAGAAGCGATCGCTATGCTTTTGAAAGCCGGAGAGTCGAAGGCGGCCATCTTGCGAAGGTTCAAAATCAACATCAGAAGTGTTCAACGGCTTGCCAAACAATTGAAAGAGAAAGGTCACGTCAAGGAGAAGCCGAAAAAAGGAAGACTTCGATCGGTAAACACGCCAAACATCTGGAAGCTCATCAAACAGCGAATGGACCAAAACGACGAGTGAAGCTTAGGAAAAATGGCCAAGGAGCTGAAAATCTCGGATTGGTCGGTTCGGAACATTGTGAAAATGGAGCTGGGACTTCGTAGTTATCGTCTGCGACAAGGCCAGTTTTTTGCCGATGATGCGAAATTCAATCGAGTTCAAAAAGCTAAGCGGCTCCTTTGTTTTTTTACGACGGCACGCGTCGAGGACGTCTTGTGGTCAGATCAGAAAATTTTTACCATCGAAGTGGCCCACAATTCCCAAAACCATCATCAACTGATGTCACCGGCCCGAAGAACACTTTGAAGCGGAAAATCCAGACACGGGGTCTTTTTCCGAAAGGATTGATGGTTTGGGGAGGAGTGACTGCGAATTCGAAGACTCAGCTTGTTTTCATCGACAAGAGTGTCAAAATCAATGCCCAGGTCTACCAAGATCAGATCCTCAAGAATGCTGTGATCCCCTGGAATCGAAAAAACCCTAACATGACCTTCCAGCAGGACTGGGCCCCGGCCCATGGGGTGAAAACCACAATGGACCTGATTCGGCGCGAATTGCCCTCTCACTTCACAAAAGAAGACTGACCCAGCAAGTCGCCGGACCCAGCCCTTTGAATTTTTCAGTATGGGATTTCTTAGAGGAACCTTTGAGGCATAAGAAAATCACAAGTCTTTGTGAGCTCGAAAGGGAATTGATCGCTGCCCTGAACGATATTGATGCCAACTACCTCCGTGCCACCGTCGGCTCAGTGATCGCGCGTCTGAAAGCCTGCATCAAAGCTAAGGGGTCCAATTTTGAACACTTGTTAAAAATTTTAATTTTTGGTTATTTATCTGTTATTTTTTTCAATAAATATGTTAAAAGCTCAATTTTGAAAAAAGATATGATGGTTGGAAAAACGACAATACTTTTCTCGGACCCTGTAATTGAAGAAATAACGTTTTAGACGCTACTCCTTCAAGATAGTGCTGAGTCAACTGCAGACTGCACAGCTTAAACTACACCTCCTTTTTGTTTTGTAGAATGAAATTGAATTTCATTAAAATGCGTATAAAAATATTTCATCCAAAAATAACAAGTCAAAACATTTTCATTGGAATTTTTTTGTAACTCATTTGAAAAGATGATTTTTGTTTTTCTGTCTAACAATGTCGCCGTTTTGCTCCCATTTGCAAAATGTCATAGTACTCTTTTATACAGCAACCCTTATTTAGCAACATTTATTCCGAGCTAAGTCGATACACACAAGCGCCAAGCATCAACGAGTTTGTTTGATCGTAGATCGAATCGATCTCTCTGACAAGAAACTCCAACTGGTTGGAAATGTAGCGCGCGTGTTCGGAGGTCGACGGATTGAACACACCGAAATAGCGGGGATTCCATTCGTTTTCCGCAGCCAAACACTCAAACAGTGTCCGTGGCCCTGAAAAGTTTACTACTTTTTACTAAAACATAGTATTACAGGATCTCCCAAAAAAAAGAGGCCTTTACAAACGGCTTTTTTGAAAAAGTTTAAGTGGCTAGAAAATTGAATTGAAAATGTGACAAAAAAATTTCACGCATAGAGAGGCATATAATCAAAAAAATTCTCACAAAAAGTCAAAAAATTGAGACAGAAAAAACAGTCTTGGCACCAGGAATGCCACCTTTAGCCACTTAAACTTTTTTTGGGACGCCCTGCAGGTATCTTGCACCCAAATTCATTTTCTAATTGAATAAGTCTCAAGCTACCAAATGAAATACGGTTTTTTCTCATTAGCCCAACCATTTCTCTTGCAAATGACTTTTGAAAGTTTCTGAAAAGCTTTGTTTTGAAGGTTTTTCATTAGCAAGAAGCCGAGTGTTCAAAAAACGATAAGGTCCGTTTGATGATGCGATTTGAACCGTTTCTTTCAATGAAATCTCTTTGGATGACAAAGTCAAAAGGATAGCGCACAAAAGCTAGGTCTGCAACCAAAATTTCAGAATAAACCATCTTATTCATTTAGATAATGAAATGAGGGGTGAAAGACTTAGTACTTAATCTAATATTATTACAAAATTTAGCTTGGGTAGTTTAATTTAAGTTTAAGTTGAGAGTTACGTTTAAAAGTGTATTAGGGATTTTGATGGCGACCTACAAGCTGCCTAGACTTGATTAGTAATTCTTTCCTAGAACAAATGCTTTACTTTAAATTTTCTGTATAGGCCTGTTGAAAAACCTTGATCATACTGTCGCTGATTCCAACAATGATAGTGCCGACTGGTGACTATGTTGACTAGACCTCTCAATCTCGGCGTAATGTTGCTGGCGGCAAGGTTGTCGATCAGACGCTGATTTCTCGAGTCGGCGCAATCTCTAAAGTGTAAGAGTGTTTAAAATATTAAAATAAAAGCTATAGTAACTTATCGTTATAAAGACAAACTTCATCATTCGAGCTAAAGCTACGATATCTTGAAGGTTTCGTCGATTCAGCCTCGCCTCGATTCTAGTCCGCATTTCTGTGTCGAGAGCCATGAGCAGTCGGGCAAGAGTGGCTGCATTTATCACGCACTCGACGACCATTTCACCCTAAAAGTTAAAAATTGTAATTGGTAATTGTAAAAAATAGAAAAATAGAATGTACAAAAATTGGTTGACTCAAGTCTAAACTATGATACATCTTCTCTACTTTGATTTGATACCTAAGCGCGCAGAAACAAATGTACTGGTGTCAAGAGATGAGCCTTTGTTTGAGAGTAAGCTTAGACTCTGGTGCTTCTATTAGTTCAATTACACAAGCAAAGTAAAATGGAAAGAAAGATACGATGTGATAGAGTTGATTAAAAAAAAAACGCTTATCATGTGCCTTTTTCTTTCACAAGTCAATATAGAGAATAAAAAGAGCAGAGAATGAAATGTGGAGATCGAATTCATCCAAAAGATTTTCAAAGACTATGCTACGTTAAATACTCTAATAAAAGCAGCCCCTATAGGAGCGTCGCGTAGTTTTTTTTCGGCTTTTCTTTTGCCACTTTTCAATAATTTTTTTTTTCTAAGCACTGGTTAATGCTAAAAATATGTGTTATATCTCAAAAAATCACTCATCTTCTCTACTTTAATTTGATACCTAAGCGCGCAGAAACAAATGTACTGGTGTCAAGAGATGAGCCTTTGTTTGAGAGTAAGCTTAGACTCTGGTGCTTCTATTGGGTTGCTGAATTGAAAACTGCTGGCTATTGTCACACGTCACAGTTTGAGCACTTTCTTCAAAAGAAACCCATTTTGGTGTCAATGGAAAAGTTGTAGAGAATCAAAAATCAAGCTTATATCCAAATTTTCAGAACGATTCAAAAACTTATTTTTAAGAAATGCCCAATTTACGAATTTTCATAAAACTTGCATTTTAAGCGAAACTACTAAGTGTATTTTTTTTGGAAATTTGGCTGTAAGCCTAATTTTTTGATTCTCTACAACTTTTCTAATGACACCAAAATGGGTTTCTTTTGAAGAAAGTGCTCAAACTGGAACATCTCCTCCCTTTTTGAGTCTCACACTTGTCTCACACACAAATCAAAATCCTACTACGAAAGAGGAATCCGCAAATTGCCTGTAAAATGGGCAAAAGTCGTCAATAATAATGGAGATTATTTGGAATGAATTGATGGTTTTATGTTCAATAAATTTCAGTTCAAAGTCCGGCAGTTTTCAATTCACCAACCCAATAGTTTCTAGTCAATCCTAATGTCATTTAATCAAATAATACTTTGTCTACTTATATTCAACCTTTTTAATCAATTTATTTGAAATTAAGTGAGAAAAATGATCTAAAAGATCTTTTCAGCGCACTCAGCGGAGTCGATCTATTTATTCCGGATCATGAGCTTGTGGGAGAACACTTCGATTCGGAAGAGGCAGTCAAAAATTGGCTTTGGAAGTTTTTCGATTCAAAACCAAAATCCTACTACGAAAGAGGAATCCGCAAATTGCCTGTAAAATGGGCAGAAGTTGTCAATAATAATGGAAATTATTTGGAATGAATTGATGGTTTTATGTTGAATAAATTTGTGCGTTCAAAGTCCGGCAGTTTTCAATTCACCAACCCAATATTAGAGTATTTATGGTAGGGACTTTTCAATAAATGATTCTGTTAAGTGAACCAGAAAATGATGAAGAGAAAAATGTCGTACTTAAACGCATAATTTAGCTAGGAAATAAAAAGCTATACTAGACATTTAACATTTAAACGATTTGAACGAACTAGACAATTCTTCTTCAACATTTGCACAAATACGAAAACACCTTGGAACTTAAATACTAACTAACTATTTATTGTAGGTATCTAACGCTTGTTATAGGGATTTAATGGAGAAGGTGATTGAAGAAAGCCGCTAGTTAGGTATTAATTCAAATCGTAATTCTCAAAAGGAGCTACCAAAGCACAGTTGTACATTACCAGTTGTAAATATCTACTTTAATAAAGTGCTACATTCAGCTAAAGTGCTACATACAGCTAAAGCATACATCATACATATATAAATAAAGTTAACAACTGGTAATGTACATAAAAAAATTACGAAAGATTAAGCTGAATGCTATGAAATAGACATTTAGCCTAACTATTCCCTATCATTGCGCAAGTTTTTTTCAATTCTCGGAATGAAAATGATCTAAAAGAGAAGCAAAGATTGACAACGATGATCAGGAAATAGAGTTAGCAATAGCTTGAGAAAGAAAAAGCGAAACAGGAAAACTTTTCGGACTTCTTCAAGGCCATCCACAAAAGCGCTTGCTGGCTTGCTATTTATACCCGCTCAAATGTGGATGTAATAAATAATCGGCAGGAAATGATTCTTGCTAAATCGGTAGTCGAGTTTTGAAGTTTTGGGAAATTTGGGGCACTTTTTAGAATCGTTAAATCAAGAGTCGACTGTTTTTATTTGCTTCTTGTTATTTGTATTTTATACCCTTGACTATAAGTTCGTGATCTTGCTAGCTTTCAAGCAACAGCCAACATCTTTTAACACGTTGGCGACATTGTCACCTGATGCTGTCTGACATATATTCGTTCGCCTGGGACATTGTCACCTGATGTCAGGTGACATTTTTTGTCGAAAAAAAACAACGTGGTCCCATGCGATTGTTTGTGCAAAAACGCCATTGTCGTCAACGTGTTAAATAGCAAAACTCAAGTTGAGTAGCTACAGATACAATGATTTTGAAATTCTAAAACATGCCCTTGCTTTCTGCGTAGCTGCCCAGTCCGTTGGCCGTTTAGGACAGTTACGCAAGAAATTTGGGGCACTTTTTAGAATCGTTAATTCAAGAGTTGACTGTAGAAGATTTTGAATTGAGTCGATTTATGTAAAGTCGTTATTAAAGCTATTATTAAAGCATTAGAGTTATTAAAGCTTTTTAAGCAGAAAGATGAGTTCTTTGAAAGAGGGAAAAGTGCAAGTGTTCGACACAAACTCTCTCTCCACGAATCCAACCGTTCACACGCATCAAGCAAAGTTGATGCCAAAAAAACTCTACATACAAAACTTTTTTGTACCCTAAAGTCGCGAGTATAAGTTCTGTCTGGTTTTCGCATGCAAATTGAAGGCTGTCATGCAAATTGACGGTATGTCGAGGGTTCGAACCCCGCTGCAGCATAACTTTTTTGCTTTTTAAGAACAATAGAAGTAAATTTATTGAGGGTTATAGCAATTTTATGCTGTTATTTGTTGCTCCGGGCGTGGCTCAGCGCGTCCGCCCTGCTCCTCTCCGGTGCTCAGTCTTATGGATCCCTCCCTGGCCTCTTCATCCGGCCAAAGTCCACGTCGACGGTCGAAAGAGATGCTTTCCAGCGTCTTCTTCAACACTATCGTCTGGATGTATCCATGCACATAACAAATAGCAATGGTGATAGGCTGTCACCCTGTAGTATCCCGCGCTCCAAGAACAATAATAAAAGTTTATATAACAATAAAAATGTATAAAAACCCAACAAAAAGAAATTCAAAGCAATTAAAGCGACATAAAAAAAGAATTCTGTGCTTAGCTTCGAAACTGATGATCACACCGGGAAAAATTCCTTTAGGAAGAGTCTTGCGCTTGAAAATGAGCATCGGTGGGAGTTTCGAACCATCGGCTAGAATTTCGAGCACAACTGTGAAATTCGTCTTCTCATTTCCCGTTGAAGCAATTGAAATATCACCACTTCCTTTTACTTCGACTGTTCGGTTGGAAACAATATCGATCTTTCTCCGCATCCGGCCATTTTGCCCTCAATCCTCGCTAAGCTCGATTATTTTTTGGTGAAGTCATCAGTGCCGGCTCAGCTTGTTTCCAGCGGTTAATCATCTGTTCGGCGACTTCAAATTCGATCGCAGCCGCGTTCGTTCCAAATTTCCTCGCAAATTTGGCCGCTTCGAGCTTCGTTTCGGGGGTGTACGACTTTCTCCTCATCGTATCTAAAATGAAAAAACGTTAGTAAAATAAAAAATAAAAAAAAAACAAAAAAAAACAATAAAAAAATAAAAAAAAAACAATAAAAAATAAAAAAAAACAAAAAAACAATAAAAATTAAAGAAAGAAGAAAATTTTCCATCCCTTTAAATGCCCTTTAAATGTAAATTCAGAACTTATACTCGGATGAACTTATACTCGCGACTTTAGGGTAAGTTGTTTTTTTTTTTTAAAAACTCTTTAAAATCGATTCTTTAGGAAGTGCCGATCGCAAATCCTTGTTGGAAACTCATCAACTTGCAAAATGCTGAAATCTATCGATCAGAGGAATTGTGTCATCAGGAAAGTAAATGTAAAATGTTTTTTTATTTTTTTAAAAAAAACTTGTTTAGCTAAAATACCACCAAAGATTGTGTTTCACGCAAAGAAAGGCAAATTGATGATGATCAAGGAAAGAGGCGCTTCTAAGGATCAAGTTTTCTGGATGATATTCGATTCTACAAAGTATTGTACCTATTTTTGAAGAGTAGAGATTAAAAAATCAAGTGAAATTTACTTTCATCCATGTTACTTAACCTTTTAGCGAATGGTACGAGGCTTTGATGGCAGCAAAGAGAGGCGATACTCTTGCTCCTTCAACGGGTAGGGACTTTCTACCTTTTAAACTGTTAATTAACTGTTAAACTGTTAAACTGTTAACTGTAAACTATGTTAATTAACATTAAGTTGTTTTGTTTTTAAAAAAACTGGTTGATTAGTTTTTAGAAAAAACTCCTAAAGATGGCGCCGGTGGATCCAAGCCAACACCATCCTCGACCCCTTCTAAAAAGTTTCTAAGGCTTTCGAAAAGGCCTATAATGGTAAGAATTAAATTAGATCCGGTTAATAGCTCAGTGGTAGAGCATCTACCCAATAAGCAGAAGATCGAGGGTTCAATTCCCCCCTTGTCTCCAAATTCTTTGCCATTTATTGTTTTACTGAAAAAAACCGAATGTCAATTCCGAGGAATACAACCTTATCTTTAAAAACATCGTTTAAGACAATAAAATAACAATAAAAAAGGATTTCAAGCAGAAAGGAGCAAAATCAAAGTTTGTAGCAAAAATTTTTCAGATTGGCGCCGGCATTGTGAGTGGTGTTGGAATGATGACAAAATTGGTGACATCAAATTTAACGGATGATGCCAGCAAATTGCCCACTCGACCAACCACTTCCCCATTAGAGGTTACATTATAAAACTAAGCTTAAAAGAAGTGAAAAAGAAGCTAACCAAAAAGTTCTTTTAAAACCACATACAACAATGTAGCCTCAACCAAATGATGAACCACGATGTCGGTTCATCATTTGACGGGTTTACGAACACAAATCAGGATCTGAATCAGGAGGTTGGCTAGAGATAAAAAGTATTATGAAATATTATGAAATATTTTTGGCAACAGCTTCTCAGCAATGTTTATAGGCCCATCACGACGTTGGTTCTTCTGTTGATACACATGAATGGACAAACACAAATTTGAATCAACAGGTAAGTGATTTTTTACAATAATCAATCAAACATTTATATTTTAGAGCACTAACAACACGCACGCTACAAATATTTATCCGGTTTTGTGTGGGGAAAATGATTCTGAGTTCACTGATGTTGTAGGTATTTGTTGCAGTTTTGAGTGTTTAATGAATTTTTTTTGTTTAGAATTGTTTGCACCGCCAACAACAGAGTTTTCTGCATTTGGGATTTCAGAGGTGAACGATTTGATTGATATTGAAACTATTGAAATTAGATTTCTTCACTCGATAAGATATAGCTCTATAAGGCTCTGTGAATAGCCGATAAGCCTAGTGAAAAACTCTATGAAATCGTTTAGCTCTCTGACAACACGATGAACTTTTATCCGATTCTACCTGGTGAAAATGTTGAATACGGTGGATTTCAAGGTTTTAAAAGTTTAATTTTTGATCTTGTAATTGTTCGTTTTGTAGAATGCTCGAGTTCAGCAGGGGATGTCGAGTTCTTTTCGTTTACCGAGTGCTCTGATGTTTCGGATTTTAGCCTGGATTTCTAATTTTCAATTCAATTGTTTAAAATTTAAATTTATTATATGATATATTTAAATTTATTATATTTCACTTCAATCGAAGCATTTTAGGGAGTGGGACAAATGCGACCTTTTTTTTTGCGCACCCGGACATTTGCGCACCTTTTTTTCCGCACTTAGCCCATTAGCGCACCTTTTTTCGCGTTTTAAAAAAGCTCTAAAAGCTAATATTAACCAATTTCTATTCCAAAAGTTGTTTTTCTAGGTAATTTGAGGGCGTAGAATTCAAATTTTGGCATATCAGAGCGTGTGGAACCAATTTGAAAGACAAAACGGCTAGGTCAAATTACAGAAAATTGTTGATTTTTCTCTTTGTATAACTCCGTCCGTTCGCTTCCACAAGCTCTGATATGCCAAAATTTCAATTCTACGCCCTCAAATTACCTAGAAAAACAACTTTTGGAATAGAAATTGGTTAATATTAGCTTTTAGAGCTTTTTTAAAACGCGAAAAAAGGTGCGCTAATGGGCTAAGTGCGGAAAAAAAGGTGCGCAAATGTCCGGGTGCGCAAAAAAAAGGCCGCATTTGTCCCACTCCCGCATTTTACAAGCTTTTGACGTATCTTTTTATAAATAAATCTCAAATAAAGCCTCTTTTGTTTTGAGTCGCATTTTAATTTGACTTGTATCTATCGTTTCCTTGTATCTTTGTATCTTTGTATCTTTGTATCTATATGTCGTAGCCGATAAAGGATTTCAGCCGAAGAAGTCTCAAAAATGAAATTTTGAGTTATGTATTGACTCAAGTCAATACCACAAACTCAAGCTCTCTAAAAGGCGCAAAAGCTAAAAACGCATTCTAAAGAGTTTTTCAACAAAAATTATTGCCATTTTTCTTTTGCTACACTTTTTATTCTAGAAATGCAAGTTTTTATGTATAACCAATGAAATAAAGATCATTTTTAAAATCGAAAATTTTTGCTTTTAATAAAACACCAAACAAACTGACCCAGCTAATAGTTAATGCACCACAGGGGCTACTCTTTGTGGGTGTCATAGCTAAAATCATAAGGAGGATCCTTAGGGTCAAAAAATTCAAATCTCTAAAAGCTTGAGGGCTAATAGAGCTCAACTTACTAATTTTCATAAGTTTGGTGTTTTTCTCAAGATGCGGTGCAGTTCGATGCAAGCCAAAAAGATCTACGCCCTTCAGAAGATCTACGGCCCTCAGAACTGGTTCTGAGTCCAGAAATTTAATTCAATGAGTTCAAAACCTCAATTCTCTGAGCTTAGACCCTGTAATGAAACAAAAATTTGAACAGTTCTAGACTCAGTGAATGCGGTGTAGTGACCAAAAAATGGTGTTGCAGCCTCATGGCACGTTCGAAAAAATAGTGCCCCGGGACACGACCGGGACCGGGACCGGCATTAGAGGAAATATGGTATTTTGATGTAACGCTTCTTTTTCATTACGGACAAATTGGAACATCAACTTGATCCTGTTATCTTTGGTTATTTGCTAAGCTTTGTGAAAGTTTTTAGCTTTTAAGCGCCTTTTAGAGAGCTTGAGTTTGTGGTATTGACTTGAGTCAATACATAACTCAAGATTTCATTTTTGAGACTTCTTCGGCTAGCCGAAGAAGTCTGAGACTTAATCGGCTAGCCGAAGAAGGTTTCGCTAGCGAAAAAATTTGAGACTTCTTCGGCTGAAATCCTTTATCGGCTACGACATATATAATAGTTAATAAACATTTAAAGAATTTACCTTTAATTCCCTTTGTTTTAACAAAGGGAAAAAGGAAAAAAGAAATAAATTTAAGTCATTTTTCATTTTTGAATTTTTTTGATACTTTTCATATTATTCAAATACTTTCATTTTAGATACTTTTCAAAAATCGATCATTTAGGGCAACATTTGCGTGGAAGCTGAAAGGGATAGACCCGATTTCATCTTGAGAAGACAACATTTTACGTTTGTTTAATAAATTTTTTTAACTTATTAATGTACACTGTGGTGCAAAAGTCCTGACCGGTCGCACTGTCCTATCAAGTCTGAACCATTTCGCCAGAAAAAGAACGTTAAAATTTTATGGTAAAAACGTTTTTGGATAGCTTAAACCTTCTACTTTTATAATCCAAAGAATGAAAGCAATAACATTTTATTTAACAAAAAATTTTGACAATATTCCGAAACGACTCAAAAAAACATGGTGCAAAAGTCTTGACCGGTACAAGAAAACACAAGAAAATTCAATATTTCGTAGGTCCTCCTTTTGCGACAATGACTGCCTTGATGCGTCTAGGCATCGAGTCGACCAAATCACGTAGAATTCCCAAAGAAAGTTGTCTCCAAACATTTCTGATAAAGAAATAAGCATCGACCTTTGAGTTGAACCGGCGTCCCTTGAGTTTGGCTTTTAAATGGGCCCAAAGATGCTCTATAACGTTCAGATCCGGCGAATAGGGAGGTGCTTTGATCAATTCCACACGATGAGCAGCAAAAAAGCCGGGCAGGCGAACTTTACCTCCATTTGCAAGCCGGACAACTCGACCCATCAGTAATTGGCTTTTGTGGCATGGGGCGTTGTCTTGATATAAGGCCCATCCTTGTGGCATGTTCGTGTTTGCAAATGGAAATAAGTTGTTCTCTATGATTGACTTGTACCTTTGAGCGTCGAGATTTCCATCGATAAACACTAGCGGTCCCGATACACTTCGATTCATCGAGCCTAAAGAAGACAGATTGTAAGTAAAAAGTAAGGCGAACACTTACCCCACAACATAATGCTCCCACCGCCGAATTTGACCGTTGGTTTAACGTATTTGAGCTTATAACGTTGTCCAATTGGCCTTCTGATTAAATGATTGCCGTCCGGGTAGTACAAATTAATTTTAGTCTCATCGGTGAAAATGACTCTGGCCCAATCATCGGAAGTCCAAAACTCGTAGTTCTTTGCAAAAGCATATCTTAGCTTCCGAGTTCTTGCATTCGTCAAGGGTCGTTTCGCTGGTCTTCTTTTTCAGAACACTTGAACGTTTCCATCACATTCTTCACGCGAACGCCTTTTGTTCGATTCTCGACAATTTTCTCTTTGTCAGGCGTTGATAGATATCGTCCTGGCATCTAAAAAAAAAATAAAATTAAAACCAAAAAGTTTATGCAGAAAGACAAGAAATACCAAAAAAAATCAAGAAATAAAAAACCGGTCAAGACTTTTGCACCATGTTTTTTTGAGTCGTTTCGGAATATTGTCAAAATTTTTTGTTAAATAAAATGTTATTGCTTTCATTCTTTGGATTATAAAGTAGAAGGTTTAAGCTATCCAAAAACGTTTTTACCATAAAATTTTAACGTTCTTTTTCTGGCGAAATGGTTTAGACTTGATAGGACAGTGCGACCGGTCAGGACTTTTGCACCACAGT